TGGATGGCACTGGAGAGCATTATGCTAAGTGAAATAAGTCAGTCAGAGAAAGATAAATATCACATGATCTCACTCATTTGTGAAATATAACGAACAACATAAACTGATGAACAAAAACAGATCCAGAGACAGAGAAGCATCAATCAGACCATCAAACCTCAGAGGGAAAGTAGGGGAGGGTGGGGGTTTGGGGGAGAGATCAACCAAAGGACTTGTATGCATGCATATAAGCCTAACCAATGGACACAGACACCAGGGGGTTGAGGGCATGAGTAGGGGTGGGGGGCATTGGGGGATGAGGACACATATGTAATACCTTAATAAAGAAAAAACTGTTGAATTAGCAAATAGATGAATGTAAGAGTAATTTGATTATTTTAAAAAATAAAATAATATATAAGAAGTTATATCCTATATAACAAAACGGTAATATGCAAATTGACCATCATGCCCTTGCACAAGATTGCTGCACCCATGTGGTCAGAGATGGCCACCACAAGATGGCCAGCAGGGGAGGGCAGTTAGGGATGACCAGGTCTGCAGGGGAGGGAGGGCAGTTTGGGGAGACCAGGCCTGCAGGGGAGGGCAGTTGGGGGGGACTGGGCCTGCAGGGGAGGGCAGTTGGGTGCAACCGGGCCGGCAGGGGAGGGCAGTTAGGCGTCAATCAGGCTGGCAGGGGTGTGGTTACGGGTGATCAGGCAGGCAGACAGGCGAGTGGTTGGGAGTCAGCAGTCCCGGATTGTGAGAGGAATGTCCGACTGCAGGTTTAGGCCTGGTCCCTGGGATCGGGCCTAAACCAATAGTTGGACATCCCCCGAAGGGTCCTAGATTGGAGAGGGTGCAGGCTGGGCTGAGCGACGCACCCCCCCCCCCACCAGGCCTCGTGTATGTTTGTGTGTGTGTGCACGCGCACACACACACACACACACACACACTCTCTGAGTGGCCAGATTATTATGAGCACCTGACGTTTGTAGGCAATTTAGCTACTGAAGTAGCTAAAGTTGCTAGAGGGCCAGACCATTATAAATGGGGAAGCAGGTTGTTTACCACGACAGTAGAAATTATTTTTTTCTGAAGATACGGGTAAACAACTCGATTTAGCAGCTTTTGAACGTGGGATATATATATACACACGCACACTGAGTGGCCAGATTATTATGACCACCTGATGTTTGTAGGCAAATAAGCCATACACTGCATCGTATGGAATATGGAAGGTGAAGGCCTATTTGAACACTTTTGCTGTCTGCAGTTACCAAGATAAAATGTCTCCAATTCGCACTGGAACACAAGGATTGGACAGTCGAGCATTGGAAAAAGTCATGTGGTCCGATGAATCACATTTCCAGTTGCATCATGCAGATGGCAGAGTGAGAATTTGGCGGAAACAGCATGAAAGCATGCACCCCACATGCATGAGTACAACCCTTCAAGCTGGTAGGGGCAGTGTTATGGTTTGGGGCATGTTTTCCTGGCATGATTTGGGCCCTTTAATTCGTGTGGAAAAACGCCTGAATAGCACAACATACCTAAGTATCGTTGCTGATCAAGTTCATCCTATCATGTTGATGACGTATCCCAATGGAGATGGCTTCTTTCAACAAGGCAATGCGCCATGCCATGGTGCTCGTATTGTGCAGGAGTGGTTTCAAGAACATGAGGGAGACTTTACCTTGCTTAGGTGGCCCCCACAATCACCAGATCTCAATCCAATTGAGCATTTGTGGGACGAAGTTAAAAGAGCCATCAGGCAGCTGGTTCCACAACCACCAAATCTCACAGAACTGGACAGTGCTATTCATCAGGCATGGTGTCAGATTCCTCGCATCACCTTTCAACATCTCGTGGAGTCAGTGCCAAGAAGAATCGCCACAGTATTGAAGGCAAAAGGTGGCCCAACGAAATATGGATGGGGTGGTCATAATAATCTGGCCACTCATAATAATATATATCCCATGTTCAAAGGCTGTTAAATTGCATTATTTACCCATATCTTCAGAAAAAAATCCCTTCTACTGACATGGTAAACAACCTGCTTCCCTATTTATAATGGTCTGGCCCTCTAGCAACTTCAGTGTGAAATTATAGCTAATTTGCCTACAAAGGTCAGGTGGTCATAATAATCTATATATATTGGAAAATGGTAATATATTTTACATGCTTTTCTCCATATTCTTTTTCTTAGTATGTCCTGTCACTCCAGATTGCAGAGAATATACAAAGATAATCCTCATTCCTTAAATAGCTTCATAATACTGTACTTTGTGTGGATGGTTAAATATATGTAGCCAATTCCTTATTGATGGTCATTTTGATTGTTTTAGGCCTTAACCACTGCAGTAGTGCTGCAATGAATAGTTGTAGTGCTGTCTAATGTATGTCTTTTTTCACATATTATTAGAACCACTATATTTTAACACTAATTTCCTCAGAGGGATTTTTGTTTCTTCTAATTATTAAAAAACTAGTAGCCCAGCACATGAATCCATATGCCAGTAGCTTGCTGCCACCCTCCTGTAGCTCCCCTCGGCCCTCCCTCCCCATGTCTCCCTCCCTCATAGCTTGCTGCCCTTCCCCCTCCTCTAGCTCTCCACTGCCCGCTTGTAGCTCGCTGCCCCACCCTCCTGCTGACCCGTGATCCGGTCATTATGTGGTCGGTCATTATGTAATGACCATTTGCATATTACATCTTTATTATATAGAATATACTAATTATAAAAGAATCTAATTTCATTTTATTAAAAAATAAAAATATATTAAGAGAGAGGTAAAATCATCTGAAATTCATGTTGCCCAGACAGACAATATTTTGGTGTATATGTGTACCCTTTGCTTTGAAAATATTTTTCAGTTCCTGAGTTCAGATCGAATACTATTTATTCATTGAATATGTTGAGATCCTATTGTATATACCTGTTTAAGTTTTTCTTTGCCATAATAGTATAAACATTTTGCTTGTTAACACAAACTTTTTGTAAACATTTCTAACAGCTGCATGATATTATGCTGTATTGATTTTTACAGTATTGTTCTTTTTAAAATTTTATTTCTCATCACCATTTAGCCACTCTATGCACTCTTCTACCTCTACCCACCCTTCTTCCTCCACCCTGCACCATCACTACACTGTTGTCCATGTCCATGAGTTCTCTCTCTCTCTTTTTTTCCCCTCAATCTCACTACCCCCTTCAACCCCACTCAGAGCTGTCTGCCTGGTCTCTATCTATATAAGTCTGTCTGTTTTGCTTGGTAGTTAAGTTTGTTCATTAAATTCCACAACGAGTGAAACCGTATGATACTTGTCTTTTTCTGACTGGCTTATTTCACTTAGCATAATATTCTCCAGGTCCATCCATGCTGTCACCAAGGATAAAATTTTCTTCCTTTTTATGGCAGGGTAGTATTCCATTGTGTAAATGTACCACAGCTTTTTTATGCACTCATCTACTGATGGATCTACTGGGCTCTTCTAGATCTTAGCTATTTTAAATACACTGCAGTGAACTTAGGGGTACACATGTTCTTTGGAATTAGTGTTTCAGGTTTCTTTGGCTTAATTCCCAAAAGTGGAATTGCTGGGTCATAAGGTAGTTCCATTTTAATTTTTTTGAGTTAACTCCACAGTGGCTACACCAATCTGCATTCCCACCAACAGTGAACAAGAGTTACCTCATCTCCACATCTTCACGAGTACTTGTTGTTTGTTGATTCATTGATGATAGCCATTCTGACATGTGTGTACAATATTGTTCTTAATTATAGTACAGTGGTTAGACATTTAAGTTGTTTCCTTTTTTTTTTTTAAATCCCGACCCAAGTATATATTTTTATTGATTTGAAAGAAGAATGGGGGAGAGAGAGAAACATCAAACCCTCAACCTTTTGGTACACACGTGAAATGCTCCAACCAACTGAAAAGCCCTGCCAGGGGCGCCCCCACCCCATTTTTAATGTATTTCATTAAACATTTCACATAATCCCTGACGGGTTTGGCTCAGTGGATAGAGCATCAGCCTGCGGACTCAAGGGTCCCAGGTTCGATTCCGGCCAAGGGCATGTACCTTGGTTGCAGGCACATCCCCAGTGGGGAGTGTGCAGGAGTCAGCTGATCGATGTTTCTAACTCTCTATCCCTCTCCCTTCTTCTCTGTGAAAAATCAATAAAATATACTTTAAAAAAAAATAAACATTTCACGTAACTTTTCCCCTATTTTTAGGGTTATTGGTATCTGGGAATAAAATTATTGGATCTAAGGTTAAAAGCATAATTAAAGTTTTATCTTGCCAAAATTTTCCAAAAAATTCTGTGGATTTTGATAGCAGCATGAAGTGTTGTTTTGAAAAATCTTTGATAATTTGATAGGTTTAAAAAGGTATTTGAGGTGGAAATTTTTATGTGCCTATCATTTGTATTGCCTGATATGGGTCTTAACATGTTTTTGCCCATTTAACTTTTGGGCTCCTATTTTTCTAATAAGGTGGTATGAGTATTTTCTTACGTGTTAATAATGGTAACCATTTTTCTGTCATGTTGCAAATGTTTTTCAAGTGTTTTAATTTGATTAACATTTACATACTTCAGTTTTACATTTTTATGTAGTCAATTTTAGATATTTTTCCTGGTTCTTATTAGTAGGCTTGTTCTTTACTACCCCTCCAAAGAAAACAACTGGTTATTTGATCATTATTCACCTCATAAAAATCAGCATTTGCATTTAGTACAAATCTTAATATTCAAGGGGGTCAAATACAATTAATATTTGTCCAGAAGCAATTATATGTCAGGCATTTTACATGTTCTCTATCATGAGTATGACAGTTTGTCTTTTCTTCAAATACTGTAAATATCTATGTGTGAAAATATAGATGATTCTATTATAGCCTCTTGAAAATTGTAAGTAGTATATTATTTTGCTTTTAGTATCTATCATGATAATTAACTATAAAAATGTATTTCACAAAATATAATGAGTTTTCCTCCCCCTTCCTTAATTGTAGGGGAAAAAGTGTTTCTTCTGGTTGCTAATGTGAATTGTGGACTACAGATACATAGAGAAAGCAGATTGCACAGACGTGAATATTTTCACCAGGATCTAAAGACTAAATAATTTCTCTTCAGGCTTGTCATGGATTTTTCTGGACAAAGGGATCTGTGAAATTATGTGAATAGAGACTTTTTTCAAAATCATGGGGGAAAGAGAAAGTCCAGACACTGACCAAGAAAATAAGGCAGATAAACACCATTACTATTATTGTTCATCTTATGTTGAAACTACACCACAGTCTTCTGGCCGGTCATCGCTGGTCAATCCCTCCTCACATAGTAAGAAAAAAAATTCTAAAAGACAGTTTTCGGATAGCGAAGTCCATCACCACGGTAAGCATTTTGTAAGAGAGTCCAGTAGACCTAGAAGACTCATTTTAAGGACTTAAGGAAAGCTTGCATGAATAAAACTCTTCTATTAATATGTTTATTAATATATGCATGGAAATGGGCTGTTTACAGTTTGAATAGATTATATTTTTGTAAATTTATATAAATGTTGCTTATGGCACTGTATTAGCTTTTGTTATATTCAAAGTCATAATATATACAGAAGAAAGAACCATAATTAAGGCTCTTCATTTTGTTTTCTTCCTAAATAAATGCTTATTTTGGAGTTTTAGAGGTACTATAAAGGCAAAAAAAAAATCAAAATTTTTGTACTTTTGTCTTCAGTTTTAAGAAGTTGTGAAAAGCATCGATATAAAGTGGTTAAGAGGCATTTTAGATTTGAGTAAAATTACTTCCCCTGGGTAATATAGTGCTACTGCAAAAGTTCAGACTTGAGATCACCATTCAGTTTTCTATTAAACTGTGTTATAATGGAAACAAGATTAATAATTATAAATAAGTTTTCTTATTAAAGTGTTACTAGTCTGGAACTAGTATTAATACACATTTGACTAGATAATATTGTAGAAACTCTTCATTTTAATAAATCCCTGGTCAAGAAAACCCCAATGTATACTTAGTAACAAAATGTGTAAGGACTACAAGTATGCCATAAAAATGAGCTAAGTGAGGTGGTTATAGTCTGTGCTAATAAATGCAGCACAGATGTAACAGCAGTAGCTTAGAATGGTGAGAATTGAGATTGCAAGGCAAGGAGTGGTGACATTGGAATCTGAAAAGGAAAACAGTAGCCAGGTCATGAAACACCTTGAATCCTATGCAATATATTGATTGTTTCTGTGGGAGAATAGCCATTGAAAAGATTTAGGCAGGGGTATAATTAAAATTACCTATATAAATTTTTACTTTGAAAAAATAATATTTGCTTTTTAAAAGCAATAAGAACACATGTTTCTTTCAAAAACAACCCTTTCATGGACCCCAGATTTAGCTTCTCAGAGATGTTCATATTTTTAACAATTGGGTGCTCACTCATCCTATGTTCTTTCCCTTCCTCCCTCCTAACCTTGTTTTTTTTTTTTTCCTTCTGCAGGATCTTAGTCTCTTCCTCTAGCCATTTCAGTGTGTGCCTCCTTGTTTTGATTTTGTGGTTGAGATCATTATCTGATATTAAACTTTTGCTCTACATAATTAAGAACAAACAGACCTTAGGGTTGAACCTTGAGAAATGTGTATTTATTCCCAAGAAATAATTTATATACCTAAGGAATTATTGGTAGGAATATTTGGATTGTTCAGTCCTCCCCCAGAGTGTTTTGGAGGCCACCCAATTAAGGAGTCGGAACTTCTTAAGCCTTATCTTATTTGAGAAGATAATTGAGACAAAGCTGTGAAAAAGTTCTAACATCACCTATAAAAATTTCAATTATTGTCTTCCCTCTGACTTGCAGTTTTCTGCTTTGCATTGTCTTCTGAATTAAAATCTGTGGTAGTTTAATTACATTAGATCTAACAATAGGACTAAACTTATACCTTCCCTTAAACACTAAGTTAATTTCCCTTGGTTAACGTTGCAATCACCAGTGTAGACTAAACTAAGAAAAGAACAAATATGATTAAAACAGTTTCTTGGCCCTGGCAGGTGTGGCTCAATGTAGAGCATTGGACCCATGCGCTAAAGAGTCACGGGTCCGATTCCCGGTCAAGGGCATGTACCTAAACTACAGCATTTTGAACACTTGAATTTGTGGGTTTGCATGTTTTTGGGTGTTTTGTTTTTTAATTTACTTTTATTGACTTCAGAGAGGAAGGGAGAGAGAGAAAGAGAAACATCAATGATGAGAAAGAATCATTGATTGGCTGCCTCCTGCATGGCCCCTACTGAGGATCAAGCCTGCAACCCCGGCATGTGCCCTTTACTGGAATGGAACCCAGGACCATCAGTCCTCGGGCCAACTCGCTATCCACTGAGCCAAACTGGGTAGGGCTGGGTTTACATGTTTGATAGCAATTCTTTCCTTTCTCCTTTTCCAGCATATTTTATTATTTTAAAACTAGAGGCCTGTTGCATGAAGAGATTCGTGCAATAGGCCTTTCTTCCCCTGGCTGCCGGCACCGGTTTTTTTCTGGCACCCGGGACCCAGGCCTTTGGTCTGGCCACAGCGAGGCTTCAGGCTTCAGGCTTCAGTCTTCAGTCTTCACTCCGGCCAGAGCCTTCAGTCTTCGCTTTGCGCCTGCGTATGCAAATTAATCGCCATCTTTGTTGGGTTAATTTGCATAGTTGCTCTGATTGGCTGGTGGGCATAGTGGAGTGACACCAATTTGCATGTTTCTCTTTTATTAGTGTAGATATAAAACTGCTCTATCAGAAGTTGGATGTATAATGATAAAATGTAATAATAGTTTAGGACATGCATGTTTGTATATTACACATTTATTCTACTTCTTGCTTTTATCAGTAAAATATATTAGGATTTTGGTAGATACATAGTTTACCCTTATTATATGTTTTTTCAATGTCATATTTTATTTTTAACTCCTGGACGAAGAAAAAAAGCATTATTTCCTCACCCTTCTTTTGGTGGTGACTTACGGTGCAGATAAAGAATGATATGGGAGTCAGTCAGATTCTCAGACCTGTTAACACTACATTTGATCTTGGTAGTTTCAAAAATGGAAATAAAAAAGGTAGATGAAAGCTGGTATTTTTTACTTCAGGTTAAGTATACTTTTTCTAATCACTTTGTAGTCATACAAATAGAATATGCTAAAAGTAAATGTTCAGATTTTTAGTATGTCAAAAGTTGGTTGTAGAAGCCCTTTCCATCTGACTGAACACTTGAAGTAAAATGTTAGTAGAAAGTTTTTATCCTGATTTTTACATAGGCTTCAACTTTGAAATAAAACAAGTTTCTATTTATAGGAAATCTTGTTTGCTGAGCAATATAATGTTATACATAAAAACCAGAGATTTGGAATTATTAAAGTTCATCTTTTGTACAATCATTTTTATGTATAAAGTTTCTGTCCTTCCAAGAGCTGAGTACATATTCCATAATAGCATATAGACACCAACTCTCTGTTAACTTGGTATGTTAGAAAAGCAAGAACCTTGAAATGATGGACTCTCCAATTTAAAATTGGAGCATTGCTGTCCAATGGAAATATAATGCAAATCACAAATGCAAGCCATACATATAATTGTATATTGTCTAATAACTCACATTTTAAAAAAGGTGAACTTAATTTTAATATATTTTATTTAACCCAGCATATCCAAAATACAGTTAATATAAAACATTGTATGTGAAATATTCTACATTCTTTTCAAAGGCAGAAGTGGCTTAATTCCAGGCTACATTTCACAGCTATGGTATATTTCAGTTTGCACCACCCATACTTCCCATTTCCCAGTAGCCGCATGTGGCTAGTGACTACAATATTGTATAGTTTCGAAATTGCAAGTAGCTTTTCCTTTATTTCTTTTTATTACCACTTCCTTTGATGTATTTAAGCATTATTAGAGCTGGAATCCCAAATTAGTATGTATGCAAACACTTTCTTTATAATCTTTTTAATGAAACTTTATAATGTTAAATTGTAAATGCTACTTGTTAATCTTTGCTTATTTACATAATGGAATCAGGGTCTTCCTGGCTGGTGAGATGGGTAACGAAAGGTTGGATTTTTTAGGGGGTTTTTGTTGTTTTTTTACTCTGGAATGCATTTTCTTCTTGAAAAAATGCAGTCACCTTGGAGATTAAAGTTCATTATTCTTAACAGTGACAAATATCCAGAGCCTCTGGAAAAGGGAGGCCTAAGTTTAGTGAACTTTTATAAAAATAACAACATTACAGATTTCTGTGATATGTTGGGATCTCTAATATGTATACTTTAAGGATTTCATATCCTTATATTTTTAGAATGTAGTATTTAGTTTTTATTTTGTTCTCAAATTATGTCAGATGTTTTTTATATGAGCATCACACAAAAGAAAGCCCCTGAGAAAGCATTTAGAATCACATCTGTACTGCTGAAGTATTTTTTCATTTTCAGTCACTAATAAATGGGATTAAGTTCTTATTACTGGCAGAGAATATTTGTGGAGAACTTTGTTTTACAAGCATACTTCATTTAATCTTCAAAACAGCATAATTATGTGGTATTATCCTCATTCTGTGGTTGGGGAAAATAGACCTGGGAAGGTTTATTGAACTGACCAAGGAGTTATTAGGTGGTAAGTCTTAGTTACAAACCCAAATCTTCTCACTGTTCAACATGTTGTCATCCTCTTCACCAAATAAAAAAGCAGAATTCTAATTAATTTAGAGAAAACTTACATTTTCCTATTTCGAATACCTTGGCACAAATGACTTGAATATCACAGTTTTGTCCAGTGTTTATTAGGCACCATGCTAATGCTCATGAAGCCCATGTTCGAATTTCTGACTTGTCATCTTCTTATAAAGTTAAAAATGTAAATGCTGATATTACCATCCTTTAAATTAATGTCAAACAATTCCTTATAAACTATTGTTATATCATTTTTATGGATCAGAATATTCTTTACCTTTCTTTAAAAGATTCCAAACCTTTCTTAATAAAAACATTATACTAAGAGCTCTAAATAACTAAATATTATAAAATCAGATTTTAAGGAACAAAATAACTAAATAATATTATGGATCCACTTGTTAGAATGAAAAATAATATATTTGGTACAGCTTCTTTCACTTCACAATATTACTGTTTATTTTTTAGCCCCTAAGAAACCAAGTCCTAAGGGTCCATCAAACAGAAAGGAAGTCCGAGTGGGATTTCGCTCCCAGAGCCTGAATAGGGAGCCACTTCGGAAAGATACTGATCTCGTTACAAAACGGGTTCTTTCTGCAAGACTGCTAAAAATCAGTGAATTGCAGAATGAAGTGACTGAACTCCACATCAAGTTAGCTGAGCAGCTAAAAGAAAATAAGGCTTTGAAAAGGCTTCAATACAGACAGGAGAAAGCCCTGAATAAGTTTGAAGATACAGAAAATGAAATATCACAACTTATTACTCGTCATAACAATGAGATCACAGCACTCAAAGAACGCTTACGAAAATCTCAGGAGAAAGAACGGGCAACTGAGAAAAAGGTGAAAGATGCAGAAGGTGAACTATTTAAGACAAAATTTTCCTTAAAGAAACTGAAAATGATCTCTGAAGCTAGACACCTACCTGAGCGAGATGATTTGGCAAAGAAACTAGTTGCAGCAGAGTTAAAATTAGATGACACTGAGAGAAAAATTAAGGTAAAATTTCTACAGCTTCTACCTATGTTGTATTATTTTTCATTAGATATTTAATGTGCTCTATTAAGATTGCTTATTGCAGTTCATCATTTGAAGACTTTTTTAGTATTATCTTCTCAGTAAGAAATTAGGAAAAATTTAACCTTATATATTGAAGAGAAAGATGCAAAAGATTAAGGGCCACATGTTAATAGATGAATGTTTAATTCTGTGGGTCATAGTAATTTGGGGGAAATACAGTATTTGGTTATCTGATTGTTTCTCTAAATTGAAAATACTATATAATAGCTGTAGTGTATGAAACCGACATTTTGGAGCCATTGTATAAGAAATGCCACATATGTTCTGTTTTTACTCCTCAACATTTCTGAAAGACATCTTTTGGGCAGGTGTGCCTCTACTCCCCAAAATGAAAACTGATATGAGAGGTAGGTGGAAGAATGTTGAGTTATTAGTCTGAGAATACAGCAAATCTTTATAAATTCTTTTTTCTTGAAATGAAAGAGGAAAATGGTACTATCCCATCACTGTTACACAGGAAACTTATATTAGACTAGAGGCCCGATGCACGAAATTCATGCAAGAGTAGGCCTTCCTTCCCCTTGACTGCCGGCACCAACTTCCCTCTAGCACCCAGGACCTGGGCTTCCCCCTGCCACCTGCAAGCACCCGGGACCTGGGCATCCCTCGCAGCCCTGGCTTCGTCCAGAAGGATGGAAGGAATTCCAGTCTAATTAGCATGTGCTTATATTATCATAGATACTACCTTCTAGAAATAACATATCAAACAGAAGCCCTGAGTTAGGACTTAGAATTGCTAAGAATTGCCACACAGTTTGGAAAACAAAGGTAAGGAAAAGGTATGAGAATAATGCCTGCTGAGAGAGCTGTCTGAGGAAGGACAAGTCAGAACTGTAAATGAATTAACTTTTTGCGATGTATTTAATACATGGCTGAAAGGGTATTTTTTAAAATCATAAATGGAAGTTAGATTTTGTCAAATGCCTTTTCTGCATCTATTAATATCATATCATTTTTAAGCTTCAGTTTGTTCATGTGGTGCAACACATTAATTGATTTGAGGATACGGAATCAGTCTTGCATCCTGGGAATAAATCTCACTTGATCTAGGTGTATGACATTTTTAATGTATTGCTCAGTTTTGTTTGCTAATACTTTGTTGAGGATATTTGCATCTATGTTCATCAGGGATATTGACATAATTTTCTTTTTTGTGGTTTTGGTGTTAGGGTAATGCTGGCCTCATAAAATGAGTTCGGAAGCCTTCCCTCATCTTCACTTTTTGGAGTAGTTTGAGAAGGATAGGTATTAATTTCCCTTTGAACCTTTGGTAAAAATTCTCCTGAGAAGCCATCTGATCCAGGGCTTTTTTTGTTGGGAGTTTGTATAGTAAGGATTTGATTTTGATAGTAGTTATTGGCCTATTCAGATTACCTGTTTCTTCCTGATTCAGCCTTTGAACATTGTATGTTTTGAGGAATTTGTTCATTTCATCTAGGTCAAGTAGGTCAAACTTGTGGCTCTCGAGTTTGACATGCTTGGTCTAGGTTGTAAAATTTGTTGGCAGATAATTGTTTCCTATTATTTCCTTATAGTCTTTTGTATTTCTGTGATATCAGTTATCACTTCTCCTATTTTATTTCTGATTTTATTTATTTGGCCCCTCATTTTTCTTGATTAATCTGGGTAAAGTTTGTCAAATTTGTTTGTTTTGGGAGAATCAATACTAGGTTTTCTTGATTTTTTTTTTTACTCTATTTTGTTATTTCCAATCTGATTTTTTTTTTTAAATATATTTTATTGATTTTTTACAGAGAGGAAGGGAGAGAGATAGATAGTTAGAAACCTCGATGGGAGAGAAACATCGATCAGCTGCTTCCTGCACATCTCCCACTGGGGATGTGCCCGCAACCCAGGTATATGCCCTTGACCGGAATCGAACCTGGGACCTTTCAGTCTGCAGGCCGACGCTCTATCCACTGAGCCAAACCGGTTTCGGCTCCAATCTGATTTTTAAAAAATATATTTTATTGATTTTTTTACAGAGTGGAAGGGAGAGGGATAGAGAATTAGAAACATTCATGAGAAAGAAACATCGATCAGCTGCCTCCTGCACACCCCCTATTGGGGATGTACCCGCAACCAAGGTACATGCCCTTGACCGGAATCGAACCTGGGACCCCTGAGTTCACAGGCCAACATTCTATCCACTGAGCCAAACCGTCAGGGCTCCAATCTGATTTTTATTATTTCCTTCCACTACTCATTTTGGGCAAAGTTTGTTCTTTTTCTAATTCCTTTAGGTGTAAGGTTAGATTGTTTGAGATTTTTTTTTTCTTGAAGTAGATGTGTCTTGCTGCATATTTCCTTCTTAGAACTATTTTAGCTATGTCCTATACATTTTAGGTCATTATGTTTTCATTTTCATTGTCTCAAGGTATTTTTAGTTCTTCCTTGATCTTGTTACTAAACCATTCATTGTTTAGTATTATGTTATTCAGTTCCATGTGTTTAGTGTGTTTTTCAGTTTTCTCCTTTTTTTTTTTTTTTTAACACTTGGAGTGGGGGAAACGAGTTAAGTCGGCTCGCGTGAATTGCGCGTACTCCGCGGGAGCCGTCTTTAACTCGGTTCATATAGATTTGCGGTGGAGTGCGGGAAACGTGTAAACTCGGGCCGATTGTAACTGCGTATTACCAAATATTTGTTTGTAATCCACCCTTTTGGTGGATGGAACAAAACCAAAAGACAGAGCCATCTTATATTTTGGTGGGAAATTCACCCCACACCGGAGTGTTAATATATATATATTTTATTGATTTTTTACAGAGAGGAAGGGAGAGAGATAGAGAGTTTGAAACATCGATGAGAGAGAAACACCGATCAGCTGCCTCTTGCACATCCCCTCCTGGGGTTGTGCCCACAAACAAGGTACATGCCCTTGACCGGAATCGAACCTGGGACCCTTCAGTCTGCAGGCCGATGCTCTATCCACTGAGCCAAACCGGTTAGGGCTTCAGTTTTCTCCTTATACTTGATTTTTAATTTCATACCATTATGATCAGAGAAGATGCCTAACATGTGGTCTATCCTTGAAAATGCACTTGAAAAGAATGTATATTCTGCTGCTTTGGGGTGAAATGTTTAAAAGTATCAATTAAGTTCGTATGGTCGAATGTGTCATTTAAGATGACGTTTTGTAGTTGATTTTTCCTTCTAGATAATCTACCCATTGAAATCAGTGGGGTGTTCAAGTCCTCTACTGTGACTATTGTTGATCTCTCCCTTTATGTCCCTCAATATTTGCTTTATATACAGGGTGTCCCCCCAAAATGTGTACACACTTAACAGTTGATAGTGCAGTTGATGTTTCTTTTCAGACTTAACCCATTGAAATCAATAATTATTCTAAGTGTGTACACATTTTTTGGGGACATCCTGTATTTAGGTGCTCCTACATTGGGTGTGTAGATGTTTACAAGAGTTATATCCTCTTGTTGAAATGGCCCCTTTATCATTATGAAATGCCCTTCTTTATCTGTTTGAATAGCCCATGTTTTAAAGTCTATTTTACCTACTACAAGTATAGCTACCCCAGCTTTTTTCACTTTCATTTGCATGAAATAACTATTTCAATCCTTTATTTTCAGTCTTGGTGTGTCTTGCAATCTGAAGTGGGTCTCTAGTAGGCAGTATAAGTATGGGTCTTGTTTTTTGATCCATTTAACTACCCTGTGCCTTTTGGTTGGAACATTTAATCCATTTACATTTAAAGTAATTTGTGATAGGTATGTACTTTTGCCATTTTGTTCATTGTTTTCTGATTGTTTTTGTAGTTCTCCTTCCTTTCTTATTCTCTTGTATGTTGATGACTTTCTGTTCTGTTGTGTTTGGATTCCTTCTATTTCTTGTAGATTTTTGGTTTGTGGTTATCATGTGCTTCATATATACCAAGCTATGTTTATTTCTGTCTATTTTCAGTTGAAATCACTATATGTTTTATTCACCTCCTCTCCATTTATGTGTTTGTTATTATTTTTTTACTTCTTTTGTGTGTGTCCCTTAATTTGTTGTTCTCATTACACATGATCTTCCTTCCCACTTTGCCTCTTAACCTTTATATTAGCTTTGTAGTTGGTTAATCTACTGGTTACCAAGTGTCTTTTTCAGTGAGAAATTTTTTCCTATATTATTCATATTTTGTATCTTTCATAAGTACTCTAAAGAAGTTCCTTTAACATTTCTTGTAATACTGGTTTAGTGGTGACAGACTCCTTTATCCTTTTCTTGTCTGGAAAACTCTTTATCTCCCTTTCTATTCTAAATCATAGCCTTGCTAGTACAGTAATCTTGGTTCTGCCAGTACCTTCTCATCTGCAGTTTGTATTGAAAAATCTGCTGATAGTCTTATGGGAGTTCTCTTGTATGTAAATAATTGTTTTTCTCTTGCTACTTTTAATATTCTTGCTTTGGCATTTTACTCATATGTTTCATGGGGGCCTTTTTGAACTTCTTGGACTTGTATGTCTATTTTCTTAGCCAGGTTAGGGAAATTTTGGTCATTATTTCTTCAAATAAGTTTTCAATCCCTTGCTCTCTCTCTTGTCTTTCTGGTACCCTTGTAATGCAAATGTTGGTATCCTTTATGTCCCAGAGTTTTCTTAAACTATCTTCATTATTTTTTCCAATTATTATTTCTTTTTGCTTCTGATTGGGTGCTTTCTGCTACCATGTTACAGTTAGCTGATTCAGTCCTCTTTCATCTAATCTGTTGTTGTTTCCCTTCCCCAATATATTCTCATTTCTGTTACTGTATTCTTCATTTTTGACTGGTTCTTTAATGGTTTTTATCTCTTTGTTGAGGTTCTAAGTTCATGTATTCTTTCCCTCAGTTAATTGAGCATCCTTGTAACCAGTGTTTTGAACTCTGTATTGCTTTTCTTCTTTTTGTTTAGTTCTTTTTGTGGACTTGTGTCCTATTCTTTCATTTGGGACATGTTTCTTTGTCTGCTCATTTTGGTTTCCTCCCTTTGTTTCTGCTACATTTCCCAGATCTTTATTTTTTCCTTCTTTGTGCTACTTTGGGATTAATTTGTTTTTTGTCCAGTCCATTGAGGTGTAAAGTTAGGTTGCTTATTTAAGGTCTTTCTAAATTCTTAATGTATGCATTTATTGCTATAAAGTTTTCTTTCAGAGCTTTTATTGCATACCATAAGATTTGGCCTGTGCCCTCTCGCAGTCTGGGACCCCTCGGGAGATAACGACCTGCTGGCTTAGGCCTGCTCCCGGGTGGCAGAGGGCAGGCCCAATCCCTAGGTGCAGCCCCTGGTCGGGCTCAGAGCAGGGCCGACTGGGGAGTTGGGGCACCACCCCCTGTCATACACAGAGCAGGGTGGATCGGGAGGTTGCGATGCCACCCCTAGTCATGCTCAGGGTAGGGCCGATTGGGGGGTTGGGGCACCGCCCCCTGTCACACTAAAGACAGGGTCGATGGGGAGGTTGCAGCACCACCCCCTGTCACACACAGAGCAGGGCCAATCAGGGGGTTGGGGCGCTGCCCCCTGTCACTCACAGAGTAGGGCGGATCAGGGGGTTGGGGCGCCGCACCCTGTCACACTCAGGGCAGGGCCGATGGGGAAGTTATGGCTCTACCCTGTCACACACAAAGCAGGGCCCGTGGGGGGGGGGGCGGGTTGGGGCGCCGCACCCTGTCACACAAAGAGCCGCAGGGCGATCAGGGGGTTGGGGAGCTCCCCCCTATCAGGCACAGAGCAGGGATGATCAGGGGGTTGGGGCGCCTTCCCCTGTCACGAACAGAGCAGGCGGATAGGGAGGTTGTGGCCCCGCCCCTGTCACACACAGAGCCGCAGGGCGATCAGGGGTTTTGGGCGCTGCCCCCTGTCATGCTGATCCCGGTGCCGGGAGGCCTCGCGGCTCCGCTGATCCCAGTGCTGGGAGGCATATTACCCTTTTACTATATAGGATAGAGGCCTGGTGCACGGGTGGGGGCCGGCTGGTTTGCCCTGAAGGGTGTCCTGGATCAGGGTGGGGGTCCCGCTTGGGTGCCTGGCCAGCCTGGGTGAGGGGATGATGGCTGTTTGCATCTGGTCACACCCCCTTCAGGGTGGGGGTCCCCACTGGGGTGCCTGGCCAGTCTGGGTGAGGGGCTGAGGGCCGTTTTCAGGCTGGCGGACGATTGAAGCTCCCAACCGCTCCTTTTTTTCTTTTTTATTTATTCTGGGCCAGCTTTAGCTCTGAGGCCTCGGCTGCTAAAAGCAGGTATCTGGTTTGTTTGGGTTCTATAATTGAAACAATGTTTCACCTCCAGCTCTGAGATCCCGGCTGGCTGAAAGCAGGTTACTGGGGTTTTGTTTAGCTTCTATATTTGTAACAATGTTTCAAACTGCAAGCTCAGAGCCCGCCGGCAGCAGCAGGCGGGGAACGTTGGCTTCCTCCGTCACTGGAGCAAGCAAGCCTCCTGTTCGCTTCAGTGCCTGGCTGCAGGCCGCCATCTTGGCTGGCAGTTAATTTGCATATCGCCCTGATTAGCCAATGGGAAGGGTAGCAGAGGTACGGCTAATTACCATGTTTCTTTTTATTAGATAGGATATTTTGCAAGGTAATCTCTGTACGTTGAATAGTGCTGTGTAATTACAGTTGTCTTCGTATCTGTTTGGCCAATGATTCTCATCACATCCTTTAAACTTTCTTTTGCTCCCAACTTAAATCACTTTTCATGTACGCTTAAGAAATTATTTATAAATCATTGTGAAAAGCAAAGAAAGGTATAATAGCTAAGTATTAAATTGTTGGTCAGTCTATTTTATAGCTTATTTTGTTTATGAACACTAATCTCAGCTTGGTTTCCATGTTTTGTACAGTACTGCTAAAAAAATCACTTTGATGCTAAGTGCATTGTTTTATTGTTGAATTATTTTTAAACACTTTTTAAAATGTGTACACATATCATAGGAACTATCAAAAAACCTTGAACTGAGTAGTAACAGTTTCCAACGACAGTTGCTTGCTGAAAAGAAAAGGGCATATGATGCTCATGATGAAAATAAAGTTCTTCAAAAGGAGCTACAACAACTGCATCATAAGTTAAAGGTAAGCATTTTATTTTAAATCATTATATTAAACCTATAATATTTATTAGATGAAAACTTAATATTTTATACAGTGGTACAGTATAATTTACAAAATTCCAATATCATCTTCAGCACTTATAGAGACAAGGTTTGTTGTCCACCCACCATGGCTCAGTGGTTTAGCTTGACCCATGAACTAGGAGGTCTTGGTTTGATCCCTGGTTGGGACACATGCCCTGGGTGCAGGAGGCAGCCAATCCTCCATCATTGATGCTTCTGTCTCTCTCTCTGAAATCAATAAAAACATATATCATTACTGTATTCAATGTTTCATTTTTGACATAACTTATTTAAGTTATAAAATCCTGGAAGAAAATTATGGAAACTAGAGTTTTTCTGTCACATGGTTGAATAATTCAGTGTTCTTCCTCAGAAACCCCATGCTTAATTATTTTTAAAGTTATTTTAAGTAATGCCCTTTCATTTTCATAGTTTTTAGAGGAAATATTCAAATTAGTTACTTCGTTAAAACAGGTATTCTTTCCATTCTCTCCTGAGCTCATTGATGGGTTGAAATGTGCAAAATTTAGTGTTTAGACATTACCTTGCATAGAATTTTTACTCTTTTAATCAAATTATCAGAGAAGGCTATAGTCCCAAAATGAACAAGAATACTTTTCTTTTTTTTACAAAAAGATCTAATTTTTAACTTAATAATTTATAACTCACATTTGAGAGACACTAATTAAATTCCTTGTCTCTGTTGCTGAGCCTGGAAGACAGTTTAGGTAGGACAATACTATCTCTATCAGGTAGGAATGGGTAGAAAATTAATTTGGCCTTATTTTCTCTCATTTTTTTAACTATTACATACTGGATTTTGTAGGGAGAATCATTGCTCTACCCTAACCTGAAGGTCCTAGAGACATTCCTTCCTATAGTTAGGTAGTTATAAAGGGAAGCTGAACTAGATATTCCAATTGGTAAGTAAAGTACCAATTGACAACATGAGGATTTTTGTTTTAAACTGAGAATATATGTCCTTAATCGTATTGGGTTTGTTTTCAGGAAAAGGAGAGAGAACTGGATATAAAAAACATATATTCTAATCGTCTACCAAAGTCTTCTCTAAAGAAAGAAAGAGAACAAATATCAAGAAAAAATGGTATAGTAGCTGTTATTGTTGAAAAACATGTGGTAGCTGTTACTAATAAAATAAATTCTGAAATGGAAGGCAAAGGGGAAAGAACTTCATTGAAATAAAATTTAAGTTTCCTTTAAACTACTGACTAGTTTAATATTAAATAGTTTTCAGAAATTCTTTCAACTTTATAAAGTTTTTCTGAGTTCACAAGTTATATTTTACATAACTTATAAAAAATTTTCTTTATAAGCATACCCCAAACTAGATATTATAATGTAATGAACCTTCATTTACGTATCACCTCTAACAGCTGTACATTTTACTAATTCGATATTATAGTATAATGAACCTTTATTTACATATCCTATAACTTTAACAGTTATACATTTTGCTAATTGTATTACTTTTCCCCAAAGTATTTTAAAGCAGTCATTTCATTCCTAAATATTTTGTTATTGTTATGCAAATACATTTATCTTATCTATTTTTAAAAATAAAGGTATAATTTCCCTCTTCTGTAAATTACAAAAAGTTAAAAACATAAATTTTGAAAATGCTTTAATAGGATTTACCTGTCAGAATTGTTTGCAAGTTATGTAATTGCCAGTAAATCCTAGAAACAAAAATATTAATGTGAGTAGTCTTGGAGCTGAGCAAAATATGCATTATCTCATTTAGATGGTAAATATACATACGAGCTGAATTCCATATATCTTAGCACTGTTTAATACAATTAGAAAAACTCTTTTATAATTTTCATGGTGTTTCAAGCTGCATGCCAGAGTGATTTTACATACCAGTGTACAAAAGGAGTGCAAACCAGTGAAGACTTCACGCTGGAAGAATCTCCTATTATTCCACAAACCGTTATGTGTTATGAAAACAAATGGGAACCCGAACTTCTTCCTTTGGTGAGTTCAGCAGTATGATTGGATACCCAATTCAGGGTTTGAAGTTATTCCTACAACACAAAATCAAACGTTTTTAAATTTCAGCAGTGACACTAATGCTACATCTGTAAATATGCAACTCGCCTTTCAAAGAGACAGATAACGTATACATGTATATTTTATTAAATTGCTGTGGATTGACTCTTAGTTCACATTGCATCTTTCAGATGCTTCAGAAAGGTTGATTGTACCATCTGGGTTGGAAGTAGAAGGGAAGAAAAATTTACCAAGTGTCTTACCTTGTGTGTACCAAAATAGTCCCTCAAAATCCTTGTTTTTATGTTTAAAAGCAAATTATAGTAGCTTTCAAATGATTTATTAGAATTTGACTGCATTTAATTTGGGGGGCCTTCTATGTAATAGAATGTTGGAAGTTAGATGAAAGCTGAGCAAAGTAATTGCCATGAATCTGACTTTATACCATTCAAATTAGAGTGACATTCCGTGGGTCTGTGTTGGACCTTCATTTCATAGGACTTAACGTTCTGAATACCAGAAGGTACTTTTCTCTAAGAGGTTTTTCTCTTTAGTTTGAAATCCAAAGGAAACATGTAGCAGAGAGCCATCGTATTTTACATAATCCTTTATTTTTGGGCCTTTTGTAAGTTTTCCCATGACCCCGAGATCTCTTCTTGACAGGATGAACTTTGTTCCTATGAATACTCTAGTTTTTTATTTTGTTTTACAATTTAGACAAGTTAGCTCTATCATTGAGACTAGACATCATGTTAATTTTTCTTTTCAAAAGGGTAAAATATGGAATAACAAAGTAATTATTTTTTAAACATTTTTATTGATTTCAGAGAGGAAGGGAAAGAAATATAGAAACATCAATGATGAGAGAGAATCTTTGATTGGCTGCCTCCTGCACGCCCCCTACTGGAGATAGAGCCCGCAACCTGGGCATGTGCTCTTGACTGGAATCAAACCCAGAACCCTTTAGTCTGCAGGCCAACGTTCTATCCGCTGAGCCAAACCATAATTCTTAACTTAAATTTAAGAGAATAAAAATATTTGGTGTTTAGAAGATTGAGTAGCAGGAACAGCAACTTGATATAGTGAAAAGAGGATAGCCTTGGAATTAACACTGCTTTTTAGTTAAATTCTGGTTCTGACTTTTGAGTTGTATGGCTTCTTGGAGTTGCAATTTCCTAATTTATACAATGGAGGTGTGTTACCTTTTAGGGTTGTTGTAATAACTAATAATGAAGTTTATGAAGCTCTTTAAGGCTGATCCTAACACTTTTAAAGGGCCTCAGCAAATGGAAGGAAGTTAAAGTACAGGCCAAGTTGCTTGTAGAAAGAGACTCAGAATACAATGGCTCAGATAGAGTGAAGGTCAATGAGTGGTCCAGAATAGGTAGACAGCTTTATTTCCTCCTTTGTCTTACTGCTCTTCCATCTTAAAGAGTGTAGTTCTCTTCTCTATGCTTAAAAATGGCTCACCACCCCTATGAGAAGGAGGAATAAGGAAGTAAAGGGCAAGCAGCTTTTGCTTTTATACATGTGATCAGAAGTTGTATACATAGTACTTCCACTCCTACCTTATTGGTCCTGTCTAGCTGCAAGGGAGGCTACTCAGTGTAGTCTCCAGTTAAGCAGCCCTGTTCTCTGCTAAAACTCAAGTATTTTGTAACTAAAAGGGAGGAGGGGAAGATGGATACTAGGGGACAGTACTCAACTAACACAAGTCTACTAAAAATACTAATAGACATTTTACTCTTAAGAAAAATTACACACCTGAAAGGGGCATCAGAAACTAGGAATTTAAGTTGATATTTTTATTTGATTTAAATATTACAAATTTATTAACTGAAGGCTTTGGGCCTAAAGGTATAGGTGAGACTCAAATCCTAACATAAACTTGAGTCAGTAATTGTCTCTGCCTGTGTTATAATTCAGCACCATCTCTGATGGCCTTTATATTTAGTTAATAGCTTTTCTGGTTAACTGAAGTAATCAGATTTTGTTGTGAAATGTACAAAGCAAGGATATTTCTGAAACTTGTTTCTTCAGAATTTTATGTAGGGTATTGACTTATACTAGAGCAGTGGTTCTCAACCTGTGGGTCACGACCCCTTTGGCGGTCGAACAACCCTTTCACAGGGGTTGCCTAAGACCATCCTGCATATCAGATATTTACATTATGATTCATAACAGCAACATTACAGTTATGAAGTAGCAACGAAAATAATTTTATGGTTGGGTCACAACATGAAGAACTGTATTTAGCACTTGGGTTGCGGGAAACGAGTTAAGTCGGCTCGCGTGAATTGCGCGTACTCCGCGGGAGCCGTCTTAAACTCGGTTCATATAGATTTGCGGTGGAGTGCGGGAAACGTGTAAACTCGGGCCGATTGTAACTGCGTATTACCAAATATTTCATTTCAATCGAACCCATACTTCAAAAGATATAGGCATTTTAACGCGCCATCTTATATTTTGGCGGGAAATTCACCCGACACCGTAGTGTTAAAGGGCCAGAAGGTTGAGAACCACTGTACTAGAGGCTCGGTGCATGAAATTTGTGCATGGGTAGGGTCCCTAGGCCTGGCCGGCGATAGGGGCCAATTGGGACCTTCATGCCGCGCCGCCCCCTGGTGGTCGGCACACATCATAGCCATTGGTTGAAGTCCCAGTCAGTCAAACTCCCGAGGGTACAATTTGCATATTAGCCTTTTATTATATAGGATTGGTTTTGATATAGCTTATAAATGCTTCTTTAAAGTAAGAAACAAACCTGTGTGCTTTTGCAGCATCTTTCAAAGGATGTTACTTCTGACTTACTGAAAAACTTGCTTTAATTTCTCAGTTGGTATTACACTTAATGGGAGAGAAATCTACAATATTTAAGTAACCTCTCCTTTTTTTTTAAACAATGTGTAATAGGACCTGAAATCTCAAGAGAAAGATGAGCATGAAGAAGCAGGAATTCTAAACCCAGTTGAGGAAAGAGAAGAAAATTTTGTTAAAGATCAAAGAAGCCATGTTGTAAAACAAGAGGTTGAGAAGCTGGAGGATGGTGAGTTTGTTTAAGCAAGTGATGAGTCAGCATCCCTTGGGAAAGGGCTAACATCCCCTAATGTCTTCCAGCTGAAGAGTGAGTTGGATATACAGAACAAGAAAAGATTGATACAGTGGTAGGGAATAATGACAAAGTTACCTTCAAAAATTCAGGCGAAGGGAAAAAATTTACTTGTATATTAATTAAAGTTTGATTAAGATATGACTGAAGTACAACTGCTTTATTGTCTTGACCTTGAAACTCTCTAGTCTAGTGTGTAGACTAGCCTAAGCATTAAAATTAATGAATTGTGAGGTCCTGAATATATTCCTATAATTTTTCATTGATTTTAATAAGTTAATCTTTAACATGTTCAACCATTAGTGTGGAAGTTTAGTGAACCAACCCACATGATTTCAGATACTATACATGATGCTCAGGAATAAAATTATTTCCCTCTGGATAAAAGGTCTTAAAGGTATAGATGTATTTTATTATGTAGTAGCCGCTTACAGAGAAATCCTTTTTTCCCCTCTTAAAGTTAATGGAACATAAAATTGTGAGTACTGGTAATTGTTACTTAAATTAGTGTATAGATTTAAAACAATGTAACAGTTGAATAGAAGCTATTTTTACATCACTGTTGGCTAATCCAGAAAGGATTATGCTTTCACATGTTAAACTATAGAATAGACAATTAGGTGTTCTGTTCATTCCTTTCTAGGTACCAGGAAAAGGAATAAAGTAATAGACTGTCACTTTTCTTTGTCCTTTTTGACTTATATTTTTCCTGGAGTTCATATGGAATGATTTCTTACATCAGTAAGAATGTTTGCCATTCTTACATATGTTAATATTTTTATTTGTTTACCTGGAAATCATTTCAAAATTATAGCAAAGTAGCAATAGCCAAAGAACTGTTTTTCTCCAAAATAAGGACAGTCTCTTAATATTTCATTCCAGTATAGTTTTCAACCTCAGTAAATTTTACTTTGATACAACCCATTTCTCTAATCTGCTGTCTACATTTGTTTTATCAGCTGACACAGTATTGTCCTTCATAGCATTTTTAAAAATATTTCATGAGATTGATACTACTGATGAATACAGACCCATTTTTTAAAAAATAGAATGTTCATTTGTAGTTTATCTGAAGCTTTCTCTTAATTAGATTCAGGTTAATGCATCTTCTGTCAGAATATTACGTAAGTGATGTATCTGTCTCAGGATATGACATCCATTTTTTAAGTTTAAAATAAGTCTTCCCCATCCATCCCACCACCGTCCTTATGGTGTCCATTTTCAATATACTGATAATGCCCAAATTAAATAAAGACTGTTGTTTTGTAAAAGATGAGAGTTGAGGTTTTATGTTTAAAAATATTGACTGTTATAAATTTCAGTTTTAAAATTTGATTTCATACAGAATGGGAAAGAGAAGAACTTGCTAAAAAGCAAAAAGAAAAGGCATCTATGCTGGAGATAGAAGAAAAGCCAGCATTGGAAACTGGAAGATACCAAGTGGAAATGTTCCAAATTCAAAATATTGATGAAGAGGAAGAAGACAGACTAAAGAGAGAACTGCTGCTTGCTAAACTGAAGGAAATCAGCAGAGAACAAGAGTCTCTGAATCTAAAATGTCCTTCTCTGCCGTTGCTACCTGATTTGGAATCTAAGCTGCACTCCCCAAAGAGAAGCCCCAAACCATACCTGTTCTCTGACTCCTTAGAGAGATTCTTTAATGGGCATCATTTACAAGACATCAGTGTTTTAACTGCAAAAGGAGATGGTCAGACTCCAGGAAGTATCAGAAGCCCACTCTCTCCAAATGAGCTTGTATTTGGCAGCTATGTGCCTTCATTTGCAAACACAAGGAAGTCCAGTCCATTTAGTCAAAAAAGTAGCCTTTTGGATTTCCAAAGAAACAGTATAGAGAAACTTAGTAGTAAAGGCAGTGCAGATTTAACCACAAGAAGAGAGAAAAAAGCCAGTCTGATGGAACAGCTATTTGGTACCAGTGCCAGCAGCACCGGGTCCTCTAAAAGCAGTGACCGGAGTTCTCTCGCTGCCAACAAGGGAGACTCTGACCCTTTAAATGTTCTCCCTGGGGACAAAAGCAGCAGGGGTGGAGAACTTGATGAAGATGACTTTTTCCTCAGTGAAGGAAGAGGTTTTAATCCAAACAGACACAGATTAAAAAAGGCAAACCATAAGCCAGTTGATTCTGTAGAAGATGAAATTGAAGAAGCACTGAGATGAGTAACTAGGGTATACATTTTTTTTTCCAATTTTAAATACAATATTTTAATAGTATATGTTATAAACATTTAGACTTTTTAATATTGAAAAGTTCTTAAGGAATGATTTTAATAGATAAATACCGTGCAAATAAAAATAAGTAGAGTATATCACACCACTTAGCTAGTTTGCCAAGTATGAAGGAGGTTCTTTTGAATGAAACCAAAAATAGAGATACATATCTTAACTTCGTTTTTACTTTATTTACATATAGTTTCTACCTTTTAAATCAGCTCTTTGGGAAGTTTAACTCCATTGGAGTTTATTTTCTATTTTTAATTCCTATTTATTTATTTGTACTTAGCTCAGTGAGGATATAACCAAGAATAGCCTCCCTGCTGATTATTGAATGTAAATTAAGGGTGAGAGACTCTGTTGGAAGTGTTGAAACTCCCAGGTGGCGGAGAACGGGTGCTACTTCGGAGCCTCGTCTTTACTGGGTAGGGGTGCAGGTCCCTTTCTTATATGGCAAGTCAGAGCTACTTTTAAGTGGAAGCTGTCAACATTGGGATTTCCCATTCCTTTGGAAGGAACCAGAGTTAAGCACTACTCATTTCCCAATTATAAGTCCCATAAATCACTTCCTAAAACTGCTAACATATTAGGTTCAATTCAGAAGACGTTTGTTTGCATGGACAATTCTCCTGACATGGCTTCCAGTGTAAACAGTAATTCCTCTTCTTGTTCTCCTAAATTATTTAAATCTGAGATTTCATTCTACTATAGAAAGATTTTCAACTCAATTATGTTTCCAAAGTAATTAACTTGGAAATTTTAAAATATATACTATGAAGATTTGAACTTACGGTCAAACGAAAGAGAGAATGGTAGTGTAATACAATTGCAGTTAAAGGAGTTTTAGAAATGGGATTTCTGACTTGCAATGTAGGGGGATGTTTTACTATTGAAATGCATTTGCTTTAGTCTTTTGCTCTTTGTAGCTCACTTTATCTACAAAAGATTTTATGACCTTGGATTATGCTGGGTATGGTTGGTCTGTAAGTAGTAATACATTACCAACCAAGGAGAGATTTCTGTTAACACTTAAAATGGCAAGTGGTAGAAATAGTGTGTTGAAGGAAGAGTAAAAAAATGTAGATTGGCACTTATTCTAAAGCGAGGTGGTTTTTTTATTTTTTCACTCAGTATGATTTCTAATGCCAGGCATACATACTGATGAGGGTGCAAGTTTTATCTTGAGTCCTTATAAATGCTTATTATTGACTATAATTTCATAACTGTTTGACACGACGTACCTGGTTAGGTCTCTAATTAAAAGATATACCAGCTGTCTTTTAAATTGTATTCCTATCATTTATTGGGAATTGAATCTCCCAAAAGTGCTAAACTGTATTTTTAAATGTTTTAATAAATACATTTTTATATCTGATGTAAATACACACTTTGTGTAGTCTAATATATGTGAACCACAATATTGTAATGCAGTTCTTGATAAAATATTATATTAATTTTGTTCATAACTGCTAGTTTTTCTGCCAAAAGTATTCTAATATTTAGGTTACTTTGTCTTACAAGCTTTTTAAAAAGCATTTTGGTAAAGTTTTATATTCAGGTCATTTTAATTACTCTCTTACTTTCCTCTACCTGGTGTTTTCTAGGCTCTTTAACCAGATGCAAAAGACAGAATTATTAAATTTAAACCTAAAATTAAGTCATAGACTTAGAAGCATTATGGTCTGAAGCATTAAAATTGGAGATTAAAATGTATAGAACAGGTTTTTCTTTATGAACAAACCATAGAGAATAAATCATTTATTTCTAAATGTCAAGTGAAATTTGTTATTTGTACTCAGAACTTTTACTAATAAAAGTTAAAAACTATAACTTGTTGTTTGAGTGATACTTTAGGTCCCTTAGGAAATATATAATGGAAACAGGGTTAATTTTTATTTCATTATTCACATTTTTTAGCTGAATTTGCCCTAAATCAGATTAGTATGCTAGTCTTATCAGATAATTATAGTTTTAATTAGCCTTTTTACCCTTAATAGCTATCATAATGACAGATATTCCTCACAATATAAAAAAGTGGGGGTAAAGAACTAAATTGAGTCATAAATTTATTATATGGCTGACTTGCTGCTGTTTTTATTCTCTCCATCTCATATTCAGACATACTAAAACCTTATCCCTTGTTGGTTATTAGTTGTGTATCTGCCTGATGAAAAGGGGATGGGAAACTTGTATTACAGTAACAAAATGGACTTTTTAGGATTAAAGAAGGTACCAAAAATTGTCAAGGAAGGATCTGCCTTTAAAGCTTTTTCCTTTCTACACAGTAAATGCTCCTTTCACAAGAAAGTCCCCTATTATATCATTTGAAAGTGCTCTTTTAGTAAAGAGCATGTATTCATTCATTATGAGTGCTTCCTGGGTGTGTTGCACTGCATTAGATGCCAGGAGAGTAAGACAGACCTGTCCACTGCCCTCAGAGTGGATGCAGAACATGCTGGGCCACCCCTGCCCACCCCCCATCCTCCCTGAGTGTCTTTGGGTTCCTCAGCTGTTCAAGATTTCTTGAAACACTTTTTAAGGTGGTTTTGAGAAATAAGTGAAAAACTTAGGTTAATGTTTGGCTGGGTGTCTGGTGTATCATAAGCATTCAGTAAATATCAGCTATTATAGCTAATTACTAGTCTCTTTCAGGACATAATTTTAAAAATAAAGCATAGACTGACTTCTGGTCAAGAAAATGAAGTAGGTAAATGCTGTCCTGATTCCTCCCATAACCACATCAAAATTATACAACCACCATCATTGAGAACCACCTGAAGACAAGTTAGAGTTCTATAGCTAAGGTAATAAAGAAGCCACAACAAGCGTAGTAGAAGGAGGAGACACACAGAATGGCAGGCTCCATACCCATGGGGCGGTAATTATGAAACAGAAGGTACAGCTTGGCTGCAGAGGCATCCCTAAGGAGCAAGGATTCTCAGTTCCACATCCTCCTCCCCAGCCCAGGGCCCCAGTGATGGGAAGAGGAGTCCTCATAACATTTGGCTGTGAAAACCTGTGGGGATTGCTTCCAAGTGAGATGAACAGTTGGAGTACCAGGCAATCCCAGGCATACGGATTAACTCACAGCCTCACTGGCTCTGGGCTCCAGTGTAGGACAGCAGCTTAAACAGCATGGGCCTATAGGGAGGAATTGAATTGACTGGCTTCAGGATGAGGGCTAAAAGGGCAGGCAGGGCTCAGGGCGGCTCTTTCTAAGGACAGAGGTGCTAGCAGGTGCCATAGCTTTTTGGTTTTTTGTGTGTGTTTTCTGAGTCCCCCCATCTCCCCCTCCGCCCCACTCAATCAGCAGGTGCAGGTGGGTGCCAAATCTGAGCCTTCCATTAACCTGGCTAATCCCACCCCACCTACCTCATGTTCCCTGACAAACCACTTCCAGCAGCTTTCCCCACACACAAGTTGCCTGCCTTGGCTCACACTGTAGACTTTCCTAAAATCAAAGGTTCATAAACCCTAAACAAGCAGCAGCTGACTATGGCGTGCTCTGTACCTCTTGCTAAACAGCCCCAAGACTGGCACAAGGGGGAAGAAGCCTTAACTGGTACAATAACTCCCATTTGGTGGCCCAAGCCTGGCATTATCTGCAGTTAGTGTTGCCCAGGTATGTAGCTTCAACTAAGTAGCCACCAACCCAGCACAAGAGGCTGCTGGCCTTAACTCACATTGTGGTGCCTACCAAAGGTCCGACGCAGGGCACCAGTGGCAGCTGGCTTCACTTTCCAACATAGCCTCTCCCAAGGCCTCCAAGCCCAGCCCAAGAGGCAACCAAACAAAGATAACTGTAGCTCCTTCTAGTCTCAAGCCAGGAATAGGCAGCTGACCTTGGCCTGTACCAGAGCCCCTCTCAGGAACTTCCAGAACCAACACATCCATTGGATGGCTTTAGGTCACAGCAGAGCACTACCCATCTCCACAAAAGATGTGTTTGAAGGGCAGACTCCACTGGCACCATAGCCCCACTAAACTGAGTCCTGCTCTGTGGGGTAAGCCCCCACACAACAGCTTGTCTGCTATAGTCACAGCCAGTCAGCCTGAGGGTCAATGATGTGGCAGCAGCAGACAAGCTCAACTAGAGCAGGAGGACACAACCCACCTGAGAGATACTGGAGCACCTGGTTCAAGTAACAAGGAGACTCTATCACTGAGCTCACAGGATACCTACTACTGACATTGCAGACGGATCACAAGAATTCTCGTTTCGTATTACATAGTGTTTTACAAAGTATCATACTTTAAAAAGATACTAGCTTGTAAGAACTTGTAATAAATAACTTCAAAATGCAATGGGTATTTAATTTTAAAGCATGCCTTTAACATTTATGTAAAATGTTTTTTGTACTTGTTCAATAGAAACTTCTCTGGCCACTGGGTAAAGCTAGCAATAAAACTACTGGTCTGCAATGTGTTAAGGTCACTCTGCCAAGACAGGGAGATGTAGCATATCTACCTAATACATAGAAACAAACGCAGGGTGGTAGCTAAAATGAGGAGACAAAGAAACATCCCAAATAAAAGAATAGGACAAAATTCAAGAAAAAGAAAGGAAATGGAGACAGTAATCTACCAGATACAGAGTTAAAAACACTGGTTATATGGATGTTTATAATGAACTTAGGAAAAAACAGATGAACTCAGTGAGGACCTCAACAAGAAGAAACTGTAAAAAAAAAAAACAAACCAGTCAGAACTGATGAACACAAGAACTGAAATGAAGACTACATTAGAGGGAATCAATGGCAGATTAGAGAAGCAGAGGCTCAAATCAGCGATCTGGAAGACAATTGGGTGTAGAGGAAAACACTCAATTGAACAGCAAAAAGAAAAAATACTTGAAAAAAATGAGGATAGTTTAAGGGGTCTCTATGACAACATCAAGCATAACAACATTCATATCACAGTGGTACCAGAAGAAGAAAAAAGATAACAAGGGATTGAAAACATATTTGAAAAAATGATGACTGAAAACTTCTCTAACCTGGTGAAAGAAATAGACACACAAGTCCAGGAAGTTAAGTCCCAAACAAAAACCCAAAGAGGTCCATACTAAGACACACTGTAATTAAAATGTCAAAGGTTAAGGACAAAAAGAGAATGTTAGCAAGAGAAAACAGTTAGTTATATATAAGGGAGCTTCCATAAGACCATCAGCAGATTTTTCAACAGAAATTTTGCAGGCAGAAGGAAGTGGCATTAAATATTCAAAGTGATGAAAAGCAAAGACTTACAACCAACATTACTCTACCCAGCAAGTCTATCATTTAGAATAAAAGGATAAAGAGTTTCCCAGACAAGGAAAAGATAAAGGAGTTCATTACCACTAAGCTAGTGTTACAAGAAATGTTAAAGGTAAAAATATGAATAAGAAAAGATAGGAAAGCAAATATAGGAAAGAAAAAAACAGTAAGCAATAGGTTAACCAACTATAAAGTTAGTACAAAGGTTAAGAGGCAAAGTGGGAAGATCATGTGTAATTAGAACAACAAATTAAGGGACACACAGAAAAGTAAAATAATCACATAAATGTGGAGGAAGTGAGTAAAATATGTAGTGATTTTAGAATGTGTTGAAACTTAAGCAACCATCAACTTAAAATAGACTGATATAAACATAGCTTGGTATATAGTATATATGAAGCACATGGTAACCACAAACAAAAATATACAAGAAATAAAGAGAAGAAATCCAAACAAACTACAGAAAGTCATCAACATATAAGAGATGTGAGCAAAAGAATAAGAAAGGAACAGAGAACTATAAAAACAATGAACAAAATGGCAAAAGTACATACCTATCACAAATTAAATGTAAATGGATTAAATGCTTCAATAAAAAGGTACTAGGTGGATGAATGATCAAAAAACAAGACATACTTATTAAATACCCATTGCAAATATGTTTCAAATATGCCTACTAGAGACCCACTTCAGATCGCAAGACACATCAAGACTAAAAATAAAGGGATGGAAATAGATATTTCATGCAAAGGAAAATGAAAAAAAAAGTGGGGTAGAAATACTTATATCAGACAAAATAGACTTTAAAACAAGGGCTGTTTAAACAGTTAAAAAATGGCATTTCATATGATAAAGGGATCAATCCAACAAGAGTATATAACTCTTATAAACATCTACACACCCAATGTAGGATCATCTAAATATATAAAGCAAATATTGATGGACATAAAGGGAGAGACTGACATTACTATTCATAGTAGGGTACTTGAACAACCCATTGACACCAATGGGTAGATCATCCAGACAGAAAGTCAACAAGGGAACAATGGCCTTAAATGTCACAGACCATATGGACTTTTAATTGACATATTTAGGACATTTCACCCCAAAGCAACATTCTTTTCTAATGCACATAAAACATTTTCCAGAATAGACCATGTTAGGCCACAATACAAATCTCAATATTTAAGATTAAAATCATATCAGGCATCTTCTCTGATCAAAATAGTATGAAACTAGAAATCAATCGCAAGGAGAAAACTGAAAAATCATACAAACATGTGGAGGCTAAATAACATGCTACTAAACAATAAGTGAATTAACAATGAGATCAAGGAAGAAATCAAAAGATACCTTGAGACAAATGAATACACAAAGACCAAACATCTATGTGATACAGCCAAAGCAGTTCTAAGAGGGAAATTTATAGCAATACATGCCTACCTCAAATAACAAGAAAAATCTCAATCTAACTTTACACTTAAAGGAACCTGAAAAAGAGAACAACATTGCCCAAAGTGAGTAGAGAAAGAAATAAAGATCAGAGTGAAATAAATTAAATAGATTTAAAGAAACAGGATATTTATGAAACAGAGCTGGTCTTTCAAAGATAAACAAAAT